TGCTTCTCTCAGTAATTCTTAAATTAATCAGAGACAAAGCAGCAGTGTCTCTCCATGTGTGGTCCCTGTGGTTTGTGTTTGTTTAATTAACATTGGTGGTGTTTTAGCTCAGGCGTAAGCCTTGCACACTGTCAGCAGAAATGTCTCAGTAGGCTACTTGAATGCTGCTTCTAGAGTAAGGTTCACAGTCCAGCTCTAGAAAGATAAATGGTGGGAGGGAGGCTGTGGGTCAGGTAAAGGAGGAAAGCTCTAATAGTATTAAACTCGAGTAATATTACAGAGGTGTTGTGTGACTGTGTATATGCTTGTACTTCTAGCTGATAAGTGAGCACTGTTTAGCGAAACAAGTCTTCATGGGTGGTGTACCTCCCCTCTGTGTAGTGCAGACCTCCTGCTGCCTCTGAGCTGCACTGCATGATGAGCTACAACAGTAGGAGGTACTGATGGTGAAGTGCACACAAGTGCACATACTCACACACACTAGCTCTGCAAATCAGCAGGACAGGAGAAAACAGAATAGGGCAGTCACTCTGTGACTTCTGCTCTATAATAGGACCTTAGCAAAAAAAAAAAAAAAAAAACCCCAAAAAAAACCCCCCCCCACCCCGCTTTTCCCAGAATCCCAGTTAGGGAGCGAGAGGAGAGAGAGGGGGGGGGGGGGGACTAAGAGAGAAGCAGCAAGGGAGTAGGAAGAAGGAAAATGAAATTTAAGTGAGCACATTTTGGCAGGATTTCAGCTGGCTGATCGGGTGAGGAGAGGCTAATGTCATTGGGGGGTTGGGGAACACACTGCGAATAATCAGCTGCATATCTGCTGAACTGAGACTTCTTGTAGCTATTCATTCTTATGTCAAATGAATTCTGTGTACTTTGTTATTTTCCTGTAGTTTAAATGCTTTGTACATTTTACTGTACATGAAGTTTACTCCAGCCAGGTGTATTGTGTCTACAGTACTATTGCGTTCATTTGTACGAGTTGATTTACACTCTTAAATCATACTCAAGATTATGTCAATTGTTCCTATGCAGAGTGTTTGGCTGCTTGCTCACATTAAAAACCCACATACATCTATCTGCAACCATGCTAGCCTACAGTCAAACTTTTAAAATTGGCACAATGTGAATGCACTTATACAGATTTTATTCAGCTGACCAGGTGTTTCTCTTCACATCTACACAAGCATATACAGTTTGTGTGAATTTTCTTTGGTCGTGTGTGGGGTTTGGGGTTTGGAGAAGGAGCAAAGGAGAGTTAAAAGGAGAGAGAAGGAGAACGGATGTTAATGTATGGATCATCTCACATCCTCTTCTCCTCACTTCAAGCTAGTTTGTGCGTTCATTTATACAGAGGTTTAATTCTAGAATGTAGGTGTTGACTGTCAGAGCTGTTACACAAAAATAAGGTTCTCAGTCACAAAAATGGGCATTGTAGATACAACATTTCAGATTTGGCCATTCTATATATTATTACAGTGTCAGTGTGCTCTACAGTGTATTACAAACAAATGCTGGCATATGAAAGTAGAGTAAAACTATTTCTTTCATGTCTGTAATGCTTTGAAGCTGCATTACTGACTAAGTGAACCAACATCATCCTTATGCAACAAGCACAGATGCCCCCTACTGGGTGTCTTTAAAAACATACTGTGACTCCGACTCATCTAACTTAAGAGCACATGAAAAGAATCCCCTACCTTCACTTCATGAATTTTGAATGTATCCCAAGAGCAATGCATTCTTCATTATCTCTCTGCTGTGCAGTCTAGGTTTGTGTAGAACAATCACTTTGCTCAATTTGTAATGCTTTGCCCTCAGATTCTAGTCTTTGTTTTGTCTTGCTGCTTCAAAGCCTTCTGTTCTTCTGTCAGATCCATTGTTTCTCAGCCTGCTTTTTGAATTGTACTCCTACAGCCATATCTGCATCAGGCACTGCTCAGTATTCCCCTGGTGAATTGCCCCTTCAATCACAGTCATTTAAAGCATCCAATATAAGCAAAGAAAGGGAGAGATGGAGGGTGGCTGGGAGAGGAAGGGGACTAGATTGTGGTCCATCTGTATCTGTGCAGAGCAGAAGCGTTGCATGTGGCAAACCAGTGTGCTCTCTCACCCTGAGAACATAATATATCTGTGGAGCTTCTCTCTCTCTCTAGTGATGAACTTTTTTTTGTTTGCAAGTACAGGAGAAGAAACAGAGAAATAGTGCAAGGTATGGGCGGAGCCAGGGGGGTGGCCAGTCTGCTTGGCCACCCCTGCTGTCACCCTTCCAGAGTCAAAATGTGACGCTTGCCAGTATTAATGAATAAAAAAAAATGAAAAACAATGACCAATTGTTGCCTTAAATGCAGCTAACATTTCTCTGGTGTATTATAACTGATATTAGTCAAATTAGTTTTATTATTTATTCTTTTCTCTGATTGTGTTATTGTGAAGTACTTGGCATGATTCACCAGATAACTAAAGAAAACATCATGTGTCTCATTTTTACACAGAATAAACAATTTGATTCTGAATAATGTATGATTTATTATTTTATAGAACTAGGGGGTTGATGTATGCTTTATATGTAATTTCAAATATGCGATCCCTCTCTGAGTCTGTGCCCCAGCTGGCCACCTCATCCAAAATGTTCTTAATCCATGCCTGGTGAGAGGGTAGAGTCTCATACAACTGTATGTGTGGCTAATGAGTGAGGCAGGCAGCCTTCTCTGTTTGCTCAAACTGTCTCCTGTAGACGGCAGAGGCATCCTGACAGCAGTCTACCACCATCATGTCACTGTGCAGAGATGAATGTTGTAGAGGTGGCCCTGGCAGCCACTGAATCATTTGACAGTGCAGTCCTCCGGGATGTGTGTGCTTGTACGTATGTGTGCATGTTGGTTCAGAGCAAGTGTTTGATGCGAGGGGAACCTGAGTGGGTGCTGCGATACCGCTTGTCTTTGTTGCAGTAATCAGAAAATAATTCCACACATTCAGATTGTAGCCTGAAAGGATGCGTGTGATGTGCTCTGAAACAGTGGAATGAGATTCCACATGATATCATAAGCTCAGCAGTTTCAGGTTTAGGACATACGTTTGTTGGTCAGAAAATAATTGGTTGTGTCCCATAATGGTGCTATTGCCAACTTTTTTCCCATTTTCCTTCTTGTTCTATTTATAATTGAAGTTGTTTCTTTAGTCAAGGCTGCTTTACTGGCTGACATTTCACCAGACTCTGATTTCATCTGTAAAGAAGGTTGATGAATCACAATGTGGTGGTGACAGAGTTTACAGTAATGTGATTTGATTTACATAAAACACACATCTAAATATGGTATTCTTAATGTGTATTGCTATGTTTGGAATTACACGATTGTTGCAATTAAATTGACTCAGAAGTGACACATAATCATGACATAGTCTGGATAGTGAAATACTGTACTTTATGCAGGGCTGTGTTTTCATCTCCAGACATAGAACTCCCCCATAAGATATGTTCACTCAAGTCAAGCACCAGACACAAATCCCCATGTAGGCAACATTTTCTGTATGAAGAGTTGGAAAATCAAGTAATGACAGGATACAGGCTTTTGGGTTGCGGCACTGATGAGTGAAACTAAACACACTGACACATTCCTGGAAAGTCACTTGTTTGCTTTCACAGAGTTTGATTAAACTACAAGTGGGAGATATGACAAAATAAACCCTAAATGACTTGTCAGAAATTTTGATATACTATATGGAACATTGGTTTTCTACCATTTTGCCCACTGCTGTGAAGACAGAACTGCATTAGATTTATAGGACTGTTGCATAAATCTCATGTTTTCACACATACAGTATATAACCAAAATCACAACATAGATAGATAGACTTTTGGTGAGGGCACAGCAACAATTCAGATTTTCCTTTACAAGAAAAGGTGAAAAAGGCCTCTCAGATGAATGGGTAAAACTATTGGTCCATTTTACCTTTGTTGCTTAATGCATTTGTGTTTTTATCCTTATTTACCACTTACCATTTATTGTCTTTTTATCAGACCTATGTGTGGTTCTGATTTGTACCTATATTTCTTATATGATTTTGTTGCTACCTCTGCATTCCTTAGAATTTAATGTTTTTATTATTATTGTTGTTGTTTTTAGTAAACATAGAACTTACATAATCCCACTGTATAGACAACTCAGAGTTGCATGTTCCTTGAAATGTTAATTAATTATTTATATAGTTATTATTGTGTATTAAACATAAAAGACTAATTAAAGGGATGAACCTTTGTTTTGGACCAACTTGAGTCCCCACAATGTGACTAAAGCCACACACAGACACACATCGCTGTGTTTTCATTCCTTGTGGGGACTTTACATTGACTTACATTCACTTCCTGTAGACTTATCCTAACCTTAACCATAACCACTACTTGCCTTACCCTAACCCTAACCCTGACCTTAACCTAATTATGACCTCACACCATAGAATTCAGTGATTCAGTGACAATTCAGTGACGATGTGAATGTGTTAACAGGCTTTGGTCCCCATTATGTAAGTAATACAAAGGCACACACATTAAGAATGCCAGTACTGTGAAATTTGAAACTGCTCTCTCACTCCATGGAAACATAAAGGAAAAAAGTGAGCACATACTGTACACACACACTCTTCAGTGAGTGTGACAAACTGATGACACTGTTGCTGTACTAAAAATTACACAACACCTTCAACCCAGTCCTCTGCAAATAGCACTATGTTGACCTGGGAGTTACTATTTTCGGGGGCAACTCTAAGCGACCATAGGAGAGTGTAACATTTCAGCAGTGTATAAAAGAGCCCCTGTAAGCATTCCTCCTGCAAAAATGAGACTTTACCATGTAGAAAAAAAAGGATAAGACAAGAGGCAGCAGATGAGAGAGGAAACAGAAGGGAGGAGAGAAAAAACAGCTGACAGGAGGGAAGAGAGAGTGGAGAGAAACAGGACAGGAAGAGAGAATATTAGAGGAGTGGGAACCTTATTCTGGAATAGCCAGCAACTAGAGCTGCAGACTCCACCCTCTTCACCCCTCCCCACGTTCCCTCTTTTTCTGTTTCTGTCTCTCTCCCGCTATCTCTGTTGCTGGCTCGCTCTCCAAAGCCGTCTCCCAGTCTGTCATTTGACCAGGCAGTTCACAGAGGCAAGAGCTCAGCACCAAAAAGAAAACAGAGGAAACAAGAGAGACACACTGAAGGGAGCGCATTCAGTCTAGTGATAACCTCGCTGGAATGTTTCCTTGGCTGCTTTTCACCAACTGAAAAACCCTGTGAGTGCGGATTTCTTCTTCTTTTAAAGACTCTTTCTCTTCTTCAGTCTGGATGTGGGCTTTAACTCTGTCTGCTGTCAACTGAGGAGGAGGATCAGCTGACACCTTTTTGGGGATTTATACATTGGGGAGTGAACCTCTACTTGTGTGAGGGTGAGATAGGGGGGAGCAAGAGGAACAGGGGGAGAAAGAAAAAGTGCCGGGCCATGCCCACCTCTGCTCATGGTTCAACAGCATGAAAGGGGGCCACCATCACCATCGCCACCATCGAGGCTGTGGCTGCCAGCATTTGTTCCGTAAAGTTCTGGCCAAGTGTGGCTGCTGCTATGCCCGAGTCAGAGGTCAGTGACACACACAGAATCACATGCACCAACACAGAAAAAAAAACGGTTGATTTTCATAAAGTTTTTCCTAAACCTTCATACGTTTATTTGCCTTTGGGTCCGTATAGGAAAAACTCTTTTGTGAGTCTGTTGTTTTGGTGTGCGAGAAGTTTCTTCTTTGTGTGTATCTTCTGATTCTACTGACCTGAAGCCATAACTCTTCTAACTCCGCTTTCCTCTTTCTCCAGTTTATACCTTGCTCTTCTTCTCCTCCACATTTTCTTAGATGTCAACCCACCTCTCCTTTATCTCTCCTTCCATTCCTGTCAGCATATGCTAATGTTTTAAGTGTAAGCCTCAAACCTTCTCGCCTGCTCTCTCCGCCTCCAGCTAAAGCAACAGATGTGTGTCACATACACATGTGAGCAAGCGGATGATAAAAGTCCTTCCCACATTTGACTACACAGGAAAGAGAGGACATGTATCTCACACTCTTCTATTAAAGATAGACAAGAAAAGACAGAGAGTGGGACTGTGTGTGTGTCTCTGTGTGTGTGACTGCAGGATTTAGAAAGTGACTGTCCTCACCATAATGAGTGTGTGTGTCAGCTGGGTATGTGCAGCATGTGGATGGATGAAACACACGTGGACTGGGCCACTCTGAAACATTCCTCTACCCCAAACAGTGAGAGCTGAACATAACAGCAGTGATCCCCCCACACCCTCCTTTCTGTATTTGTCTCTCCCTCCAGCTCTCCATCTTGTTGTGATGATTGCAGCAGAAATAGCAGTATAATGATGTGACTGAGGACAAGGAGCGGGTGGCATGATATGTAATAACAACAAGGCTGATGAGCACTCACACTCGCCTACAGGCTTGTCTGGAGTTTTTATTTTTATATTTTTTTTTACAAAACTCAGGCCTCACTGTAATATCAGTCTGAAAGCATGAAAAAACCAAACTCAAACTCCTCTGTTTTTTTACCTTGCAGCCTGTCACTTGCTTCTCTTTGTCCCTGCCACTTGTCTTGCGAACACACGCGACCTCTGCTACTGTGGCTCAGAGTCAAAGTTAAAACAGCAACAGCGGCTATTAGCACTGTTTGAGTTTATACTGTGGTGCATGCTGAGTTTGTTCCCTCCCATCAAAGGGATAAACAGTTAACTTATCCAGTGAAGTAGGCTTTCATATTATTGGTCAGTGTTGTTGGATACATACCTCAGATTCCTTTAGTTAAATCTCTTATGTAACGGATATTCTCCTTCTCCATTAGCCAGAGCTCCTTACTGCACCTCAACCATGTTATTACAGCAAATGCACGTACACACTTAGATTATAATATATGTGGGAGACTGCAAGAATAAAACATTTTACATAATTAAAAATAATCTCAATAAACATACAGTAAGACCATTATTCAACAGTCTGGGTTTCTTTCAACAGCCTTTAGAAGATCAGGTGGCTGTTTTTAATTCAAAATGACAAGCTAGGAAGTTTTTTATTTTCCATTTAGAGGCAGAGAAACTCTTGATCTCTCTTTACAATCCAAGTAGGAGAAATGTGAGCACTCTATCCCCTCTGGAGAAGCCACATTATGAAACTACTGTAGTGTGTTAGAGTAACTTAACTATTAATGTGATGCTATGTGCTCTGTAAAACCTCCTCAAAGAGCATGTAAAGTGCATTTTTATATTGCTGCCACTGGTTTGCTCCTACTTGTATGTTGAGAATATGTGCAGTCATCTCCAGTCATCTACTGTAAAGAGGTTTCTATAATTAACACGATGTCAGGGGGAAAACACTGGCTGTGGTGGAATTTTTAATAGCACTTATCTTTTTTCTCCTCTTTACAGCCTCATCTCATCTATCTATCTATCTATCTATCTATCTATCTATCTATCTATCTATCTATCTATCTATTTATTAATGAAACACTAGCCAAACTTGTGCCTGGATTCTCTGAGCTGAGATAACCAGGGTCAAAATACCAAAATAATAGCTTAGTGTGAGCTGCCAGATTTCTTGATGTGACACTGATATCAACAGCAAACAAAACATTTCCTCTTTAATGTAATCTTTATTGCAGTGACAGGCTGCCTTACTCTGCTGTGTCAGACAAAACAAACCTATACCTTTGACTGATTCTTAAAATGCCACTCCACTGACACAGGAGGAAATTACAGTGTGCTGCATGATTCAGTCCCTACACACTTGCTGGATGACGGCACACACTACAGTGTGACATTATGTCATACTGTATGCATACCCAGTACATGCCCACATTCACTCAGATCAACACCCTCACGTGTATCTTCCAGTGAATAAAGGACTAAAACTTAAGTAATTTCTGTTATTACCATTCAGAGTAAATGACTTGCCCAAGATGGTCTGCAGTGCATCAGAAAAACAGGCAAGTCAGTGGCCTTCTGTGGCGTGTCCTCACACAGCTTTTTCACTTCTTAAACAGGGGTGTGTAACGAAACAGGAACACAAGCAGTGGACTTCTATTTGTTGTTACCGTGTATGTGGTGCAGGAGTATTACAGGACTAACAAGTAGCAGAGTGGTAGGAAAAATAGAGTCAGAGGAAATATATGGCAGTATATAAACATGAGTGCAGCAGTAGAGATGGGATTATTGATCTGAGCAGTAGTCAGTATGATCAAGAAAACCAGAAAGATGGACAGGTGGGGAGAGGTGCATAATGAAAGAGAAAAGCATGCATCATTTTAGCTCTAATGTTAGGTGCTGCTCTGCACAGCACATTAGCAGACTGGCTGCGATAGGGCCATTAGTAAGGGCTGCTTCCCAGCAAAGACTGTTGACAAACCATTTAAAAATAGATGGTATGTCACTGTTTGATATTGTCAGCAGTCAGTTGTCTTCACAGCCCAGAGGGAGGAAGTGCAATGTGTGGATTCATTAGATCATATCTGATAGGAGGACTGCATTTTGTGTGTGAGGGAAAGGTGGAAAAGAACAAGTGTTACTTCTCAGTAACACACGCCAGAGCATGCAACAAGTCACCGAATAAATGTGTTTGCTCCATTTCGAGGATCAAAAGCCAGTGTTCAAACAAAGGAAAAACATAAAAAGCCTTGAGCTGGCTCCTGATGATGACGCTGACAACGTCTTCCTCACACATACATGGTGATGTTAAGCATGACATATGCCACTGCATTCTAAGCCAACACTGTCATCACATCTTTACTTCAGCACAACCTCCTACACACCTAATGGTATTTGTGATGCACCCTGAGGTAAATTTGATACACATAAATGCAGGCAGTTAGAGAGACAAAGCAAACAAGAGAGACATAAGGATGGAGTGGAAGTAAGATCACACTAAAACGAAGCAGTTTGTCATCCCCTCTCGGAAAAGAAAGCATTTTGAATGTTTGCCTTTGCTCTAGTTTTTCACTGAATTGGCTCTTCAGAATGCATGTTAGGCAAGCAAGCTAAAAATACAGACATATTTCTTGAATGGAAATGCATTACAATGAGGTAGATTCTCCAGTATATTTGAAGTTACACACATTCTGTATGCACATCATTTTAAAATATGTAGTCTAAATGTATACAAAATGTATTTATTTCCTTGTAGGAGTGTTTTCTGTAGAAGATGAGTGTGATTAAACTTTTAGCTTTAGCCTCCCTCCTCTGACAACATGACAACATTTCTCTCTGTCTACTCAAAACATCCATCTCTTCCTCTGTAAGTGTCTCTGTCTTCATATCCCCACCCCTTTCTTGCTCTCTTTTTCTGCCTCT